AGTCACGACGCGGCCACGGTGTTGGCGACCGTGAATCAATTCAACGCTGTGTCGCTTCGAGTCATATCCACGATACTGATGGACCCGACGACGAAGCCTCAGGAACGAGCGAGAATCCTCGAGACGTGGATTGACATTGCTCAAGAACTACGCGTGTTAAAGAATTTTAGTAGCCTGAAGGCTATCGTGTCCGGTTTACAGAGTAATCCTGTGTATAGGTTGGAGAAATGTTGGCAGTCTATGCCCAGAGAGAAGCACGAGCTGTTCAGGGAACTGGAGAGAATCTTCTCAGAAGAGAATAACGCGTGGACGCAGCGAGAGCTTTTAATCAAGGAAGGTACCGCAAAGTTTGCTGACACTGCCGGCAGGAGCGATAGGCACTTGCAAAAGTTATTTCAGAAGCAGAATACTCACGCAGGAGTAAGTATAATTTCTAATTTACACATGTGCGTAAGTATTTTGGACACTTGGAGCAGTTTGATCAAAATTCGATTCAATTCCTCTATTATCCCAACATTGAACAACGCGTAAAGTCACTCGATTCAGGCGTCTCTTACTGTTTTGTTGTACTGTTATTAATTAATATCGAGTATTGTTCTTATCTATATCCACTGATTGTACTTATATGATCGTCTGAGATAAAATCAGATGCCACGATTAGATTAAGGAGCTTCATTTGTACTATTTTATATATTTACAATAATTTGAAAGTGTACCAAATACTTATGTATTCCTTGATTCATTGATTGCAATGTTGGATACAATGACTAACGAACTTTCTCTGTTTAGAATATCAGCTATGGCACGATACCGTACCTAGGAACTTTCCTAACGGATCTCACTATGATAGACACCGCGATACCAGATACGATAGCGGAAGGATTAATCAACTTTGATAAAAGACGGAAGGAGTTCGAAGTCCTCGCTAGGATAAGATTGCTCCAAGGTGCAGCGAACGCGTACAATTTCAGCACGGATCCATTGTTCGATCGTTGGTTTCATTCCGTGGTGGTGCTTGACGATCGGGAAGCATACAAACTGAGCTGTCAGATCGAGCCGCCGCCCCCTGGAAACACTCTGAATAATCGTGGCAAGAAGAAGCAGGTCAGCATGCTCTCCCTGATCTCGTTAATACGAACCCGTTCCCGATCACCTGTTCCTCGCGAGAAGCCTGAGCCCAGACTTATCTTGCAGAGTCATCAGGGTCATCGCAAAAACGACTCGATAGCCTCTACGTCGAGTTCGAGTAGCTCCCAGTTTTATTGCGACCTAGATTCTCTGCCGAGCTCGCCGCACAACTCTCTCGATCGACGCACCTCGCCGTCCCAGATGTCTAGTTCTTCCTCCAGCTCGTCTTTGCCATCATTGGACGTGTCCCTAAGCTCCGGCGGAGGAAGCGGAGCGACGAATCAGCACAACCGACTAGCACCGCCGACTCCCATCACCGCCAATGGAAACAGCACCAATGTCATTGGCCTGTCCAGTCCCAGTCATTCGCACAAGAGCTCACCAGATTTTTACATAATTAAAGTCACCATGGAGACCGATAACGTTGAGACTGAGGGCGTGGTGCTGTACAAGTCTATCATGCTCTCGAACAACGAAAGGACCCCGCAAGTGATACGAAACGCGATGCTTAAGTTAGGAATAGAGGGCAGCTCCGACCAGTATACGCTAGCCCAGGTTCTTCCTGATCGTGAGATGGTTCTGCCAAACTCAGCGAACGTTTATTACGCCGTAAATACCGCGCACAATCTGAACTTCATTCTACGACCTAGAAGAGAGCCTAACGATAGCGTCACAGAAAGTCCTAAGAGCAAGACGAGTCACAAGCGGTAGTGTTGAATGTCGAGAGAATAGGCTACTTCGTAATTAATATTTTGCTATGTTGCATCGGATGGAATATTGAGAGCGATAATCATGTCAACCGAAATATTTAGGAGAAATTTATTTATTCTTCGTGCGCCCTTTCATAAGGAGCATTTTGAAGAACGTTCTAGTTGAGAATCCGAAAGAATCTCATTAGGTTTGCGATGGTGCGTTCACATCATCTCTTCTTTCACATTTTACCCATGACAGTACCAATGTTTGATATGTCGCGAAATTTTTTTATAGTGATAATCGTGAACGACGCGTTGACAGTGACATATTACATTTGGACATCATACGACGTTCAGTGTCTTTAGTATCAATTTTTGTTTCTTTCATCGTCACTCGCTCATCGCATAATTGTGTTAACACGACATTACCCGCCTACACGGTACTCGAATATAACATTAGCGTCATTTGTGCGGATCGCGGACTAATGTAGTTTTAGATTATATTTAGTGTAAGTCATTTAGGTCTCTTATCGACGCACACGCGAAACGAACAAAGACAAACGATGTAATAGGTAGCTTGCGAGGTGCGCGAATGTAGCAGTTGTGTGTAGTCATGTGTAATTTATACAAGAAATCCTTGCGGATTGTAAGAGATTACGGCGATGAAGATTGTGACGGGCAAATAATGAGTATTCGCGAGAGAACATTGTGATTTTGTACATAACTTTAGTGTCGTAGTGTGGCTTCGAGCGTAGTCGATCGGCCGCGAGAATCAAGTGGACCCAATGAAACAATTGTCAATTACTTTTTCCGCATTGCAATTGAGAGAAAAAAAAGTAGAAAAATTGTTCAAACAGCCATTCGTCCATTCCGTGATTCATTTTTCTTGTCCCGCATCTATGACAGCGATGCGAGGAACAGAGAGATTCGATTCTGTGATATTGGAATTTCTCATTTCGGCTTTGAATTTAATCGCGAAATGAAAAGAAAGAAAAACCGAAATCGAGTATATGCATACGTTTGATGCGAGTGAATATCAAATACTCGTTCCGATATCGAAGCTAAAAAACACATTAGAACGTGTGTGAACGTACGTTGATATATTTTTACAAAGACCTGCATGCATTTCATATTAGGGCAAGTGAGAAGCATAGAAAAAAAAAAAACAATCGCAAGATCCAAGCACGTTGGATTCGTGAAATACTACGCCGACGTGTCTGGATCCTTGATGTATCGTTTAGCTTAGGCAATTTTGTACTTACTTCTTATCGACCTTAATTTTCCAAGAAACGTCTTTAACTAGCTGTATCTGTTCGTGTACGCGTCAATTATTTACTGAAATTCGCGGAAGTTATATGTAATACGAGTCGATAAAGGCGAGAATAGATGGACCTACAATTTTACTAAGCTTTTTCATCCTAGGTATAGTATTCTTTATCCAATTCTTTTCCTTATTATTTATTTTCAACCATTCTAATTTCTTATTTTATTATCCTACAGAAACGAGAATAGATGGATCTACAGTTTTACTCATCCCTTTAACCCTAGGTATAACACTCTTTATCCTAATTCTATTTTATATTATTTATCTTTGATCCCTATCTTCAACGAACCATTTCATTCAAATTTTTTCTTTTATTATCCTATAGAAGTTCCTAGTAAATCCATATCTGTTCCTCATGTCATCGATGCTTATCCAGATTGCGTTTATCCAGTCGAGAACTAACTTTTACGACCGTTTATTTCGAACATGAAGAGAGGATGGTCAGATCGTTACCGTACAAGACCGTGGAAAACCACGTCGTGTGGCCTCGTTGATGACTTCCGGTATGCCAACACATCCGGCACGCGAACCTGTTGATCACCTACCGCGAGGGTGCAAGTACCCCGATACTGCGGTAAAACGTGCAGGTAGGTGTTCCCCGGTCGCATTTAACAAAGGAAACAAACGGCAGGGGGTGGAATCGATGCTAATGGTTTCGACAAACGGCATACGATCATTTAACGAAACAGGAAGGGCGATCTATATCCCTCGTTTCTGTCCTCCCCGGTACGATCGATGCGATAAGGGCGAGCTTCCTCGAGCTGTTAGACACGCGTACCTAATATCGCGCTTCGAGTCTGCCGAACTGGTTCAAGGTCACCGGTTTACGTCAGAAATGCCGAACCAGAGGAATTCGAACGTGCATGCCGATAAAGTTCTTAATTGATCCTTAGTATCAGTTTCTTGCCACGCATGCCGTGTTGTGGTTAATACGATTATGAGCGAACCACTTGGAACGTCATGGGGAAAGGGATGGGGGTTCGCATGTAGCCTATGTAAATCAGAAATTTATGGTTGAAGGGTTTGTACTTAGAGATTTTGTGACGTTGAGAGCTCTCTTTATCGGAGATTCTTTTTCTTCAGCCGACGATTGTTGGAAATAATAGAAACGCTAGTTTATAAACAACTAAATATTTTGGAAATAATCGAATCATCGATAGGTATAATTAAAAAAATTTTTTTGGAATTAATGTACCATATCGTAATATTATTTTGTCTTTCAAAGTTGTAGCTACGACTCTGTTTCAACAACTTTGAATTTATGGAAGTTACAGTATTATTATGAGTCACGCGTGACTTTATGCATTTGATATGCAAGAAAGTGCATTTTTTGTTGAGTATCAAGAATGGTATTTCGATCACGAAAGTATTGTTTACTTGTGTGCTTTCTTGTTTTCCGTATCGCGTCATAGCTTTAATTTAGAGAGTTAATGCTGGCATCGCGTGTCTAGCTGTGATCGACAGCTGCTACTGCGTCGCTGAATTAACAGTGACTGCGTACAAATGGGCATTCCGGTTGGGAATCCATTAAACAAAGATATATTTCTGTTCATAGGAACAAAGATATATTTCTGCTGGTAGATACAAAGATGCATTTCTGCTTCGTTTCCTCCTTTGTCTTTCTTTCAAGCGTTTTAAATCACAAATAGACATTTTGTTTTCTATTTATGTGGAAAAAATGTAAAAGAATTCTTTCTGTCCTATCATGATATCCGTATGACACTGTTTAAAGAAGGCTAATTAATTGACCCCCTCCGTTTTTATTATTTCGAGTCTATGTTAAAATTAAACACGTACATTATTATAGTTAGTCAATTATATCTACATATATGCTATGGTAGCTCTAAAAAGTTCCTAGCCAAAGGTCATACTTCTATTTCGATTTAATTCATATATTAACAGAATTCTCCTTATAAGAAGTTTAACAACATAGTATGTACCATAATTTTATTTACTTTAACGAATACATATTACGTTAACGTAATAGACGTCTTCTTCCGGGAATATTTTAAGACTATACTACAGCCAGAAACTTTCCAACAGCCATTACATCACGTGTATAAAATTCCTAAAGTGCACGTGCACCCGTACACTCCCTAGACGACCCCTTGAAGAGAACCAAACTACCGTCGTATAACATCCAACATATACGTATTTACACGAAGCCAAGGAGAAAATTTTGCAACGGAAAGTGCTCTTGTAATATGTGAAATGCTCCCGGTACGAATCCACTTTACACATCCATGTCGCTTGAAATGTTCGTGACACCCTGTCGGTTGCGCTGGTGGCGAACGGCGGAGCTTGCGCCCTGGCGAATCTTTACGTTCCCTTGGTAGCCTCTAGACGGCAGTGGTGTGTCGGGTTAACATTGTACCCCTGGCCCCTCCGAGGCCACCCCCAGCCACCGATTGAACCGGTGAACCGGAGTCGAAGCAACCCCCAGCTAAGCCCTCGAGAGGCAGTCGTGAGCTTGGTGCCGAGCTGGGGCGATGCTCGTCGCTCGCGTGTGCTTCGCGATTGCACCGAGTGCTCGCCATTCCGTATCGTTACGCGCGTCGTTCGTCCCGTATCGACATCGTCGCGGTCGATCGTCATCGTCGCCGCCCTCGACCTCATCTTCGTATCCATCCTACTCGTCGTCGTTGTCACGGTTCACGTCGTTGTTCCCGAGGCTGCTGCCGCAACGAGGTCCGACGGTGCAACGACCGTGCGACCATCGGACAGCCGCACGTGAGCACGGCCCTGGATTCAACGCGAGATGAGAAGAAACGTGAGTCTCGAGAATTGACCCCGTGAGCACGTTCCCTTGGAACCCACAAATTCAAGGACAGGAAGCTGCTTCTCGCGAAGCGCGCCCC